TCTCTATTTTAAATTATAGGACATTTTGACTTTTCTAGATCGATACATTGTTTTTACTATGTATCTCGGTTTCCACTTTCAATTCGACTGATGATGTATATGTTTGCATGGTCTTTTATTTGTCTCTTCTTCTAGATTAAAACGAGTGTTGGTGTGTGTACCTATCTTCGTCGGCATTGCCTTTTGCGTGAAGCAATATTTTTCTGGTGGGAGTGATAAAGAGGCCAGGAAGATGACTAGGAGCCATTAGATTAAACGTCCCTGTGTTTAATTTGAGAGTGCATCTAGGTATTCCGGTGCAGACAAGGCTTAAACACACTGTGTATCTAGAGAGCACCACCGAAAACGTCAAATTTGCCGAGTATTTTTATGTTTGCCGAGTGTATTCCCTCGGGCACCCGGCGAACAAGTTCTTTGCCGAGTACTGCGCTAAAAACACTCTGCAAAGAGAGGGTTTGCCGAGTGTAAAAAAACACTCGGCAAAGAAGGTGGTTTGCTGAGTATTTTCTTTTTTGCACTCGGCAAAGAAATAAAATCTTTTTTCTAGGAAAGGACAAAAAAATGAAAAAAAATTTTGCCGAGTGCCCAGATCTAGGACACTCGGCAAAGAAATAAAATCTTTTTTTCTGGGTAGAAGGAGAAAAAAATGAAAAAAAAAACTTTGCCGAGTGCCCAGATCTATGACACTCAGCAAAGGATAAAATCTTACTTAATAAACCGCCCCCAGCGCCCCTCCCGAGCACCCTGCCCTTCTCCTCCCCAGCGCCCCTCCCTCTCCTGGATCTCGCGAGTCACGAGGAACCACTGCTGCGGGCGTGCTCTGCCTCCTCCCCAGAGCGTTGCCTCGGGCGAGCACGGGCGCCTCGATGGAGCCCCGGCGGCGAGCAGCACCAGCTCCGACGGATTCGGCCTCTTCCAGTCGCGCCACCTCTGTCCTCACCGACTTCGACGGCGGTCGAGCGGCACCGGCCCCGGTGGATTCGGCCTCCTCTAGTCGCGCCACCTCCATCCTCACTGACACCAGCGGCCGTCGAGCGGCACCGGCCCCAGCGGCGCGGCCACTCCCTACACGGCCGGCGCGGCCCCTCCCTCCCTAAGCGGCCGGCGCGGCTCCTCCGATGGCGAGGTCCCGATGGCCTCCTTCGCCTCGATCCGCCTCCACTTCCACGACTCAATCCAGGGCTGTGATGCTTACGTGCTCCTGGACAGGTCCGCCATCGGGACGAGCGAGCAGCAGGTGCCGCCCAACCATGCTGCGACCACGCGAGCGCCGGCCATGCCGTGCTATGTGCTCTGCTTTGCCCCAGCGCCCCTCCCTCTCCCGGATCCAGCCGGTGGCGGCCGGATCTGGCGGCGGGCGGCGTGGTGTGGTGGCGGCAGCGGCAGCTTTGGTGGTGGTGGTGGTGGTGGTGGTGGCCGGCGGCGGGGTGTGGTGGTGGCGGCCGGCGGCGGGGTGTGGTGGTGGCGGCGACTTCTTTTTTTTATTTTTTTTTCCGAAAAATATTTGCCGAGTGTTTTTTTTGGACTCGGCATAGTATTTGCCGATTGCCCGACGGTTGACACTCGGCAAAAAGCTCTTTGCCGTTAAAACCTACGCCGAGTGTCGTTTGCCGAGTGTATCACTCGGTAAACGCTTTGCCGAGTATTTTTGAGGCTTTGCCGACGCTCCTGTATCCGGTAGTGGAGCATTGTACTGGTGGCCATATATTTGCGCTGGTGCGATTAATTGTACATTGTCAGTGTATTACTGTTACGGTGTATATATATATATATATATATATATATATATATATATATATATATATATATATATATATATATATATATATATATATATATATATATATATGGAGCTGGGCTGGTTGTTCTTGCATCATGCGAGATTTTGAATATATATACAGGGCACTCGGCAAACCTCCCGTGTCCGGTAGTGGAGCATTGTACTGGTGGCCATATATTTGCGCTGGTATGATTAATTGTACATTGTCAGTGTACTACTGTTACGGTATATATATATATATATATATATACACTGGTTGTTCTTGCATCATGCGAGATTTTGAATATATATACTTGCAGTTTCGCTTCACCGAGGGATATTCTGTGCTTTTTACCCATATAGAATGATTTGCATACATGCATCATCTTTAGCATCCATGAAAGTTTTGAGCTTGGTTATTAAATGCTTTTGTATTTAATTTCAAATTAAAGCATTATTTTAGCATGTGTTTTGTGAAGGAACATTGGATTTAACTGTAGCAGTAGTAAATATGTTGGAAGATTACGCGATAGAATACTAATTTAAAAACCACGATTTTTGGATGGTTTTTCAAGGATCCTAGAAAATCATTTTTGGGGCTAAAGCAGTTTAGCCAAAATTGTGTCTCGGATTCAACGTCATGATGCCAGGTCCAATCAGAAAGGGTTTTCCTTTGTTTGTAGCATCTACATGAAAACTTACAAGATATTTAAAAGTCTCTAATGTTCCTTGTTCATTTATGAAAAGTGAGAGTGCAGTTTCTCGACACCCTGGACATACGTGGCCTTTGTTGATCGGTGGACATAACTGGTTCGGCTGCAACCGAAAGTTGCTTCTACTGCTGCCGTGGGCCAACTCCTCACAAATCTGCAGCCGCTTTCAGCCACAGCCCAACAGGCCCATGCTTAAGTTCTAGAAGCCCCATCGAACTTTGGGTGTCGTCGTGTGCTTCTCATCAATGCAGAGCAAAAGGTAGACATTACCTCTCGTAGTGTGTGTTTGATCTACTTCCTCCAATCCCATAAAATTTTAATGATTTAGGATTCAAAAATTTGTCCCAAAACTGATGTCTTAGCTCTTGAAACTAGGTTGGGCTCATATTAGCTTGAAATTATGGTTTGCATGTCTTCATGCATTCCTTTTAATTAGCAGATTATTCCTTAATTAGGATGGATTGCCTTCAATAAATAGAAGTATATGGGTAATTTTAATTGAACACTAACTAGTCTTAAAAATCCTAAAACATCAAGTTTTTCTTGGAACTTAGGGAACATCTTTTTCTTCATATATGTAGCAAATGAAGTTGGATCATGTACTCTGTTGGGTTTTGGAGGCACGTTATTGTCATAATTAGAATTAACTATTATATGTGTGCTTTCTTATTTAACGTTGTTAGCTACTCCCTCCATCCCAAAAAAGGGTCGTCTAGGATCATGTGCAGGTCATTTAAAAAAATTGACTAGATTTGTAGAAAATAGTAGCAACATTTATAGCTCTAAATAAGCTTATATTATGAAAACATATCCAACAAATAATCTAATGATACCTATCACACACCATAAATATTAATAACCTCTTTGTATTATTTGGTCAAAGTTGATATTGTTTAACTCTTCTAGGATGTGAGAATGACATTCTTTGGCTTTGCGGGACGGAGGGAGTATGATAGTAGTAGTAAATTGACAAGTAGCATGGTGTGTGTTTGGGTTTGGGACTAGATGGGATGGGTTGGACCCCAACCCTGTTTTCTAAGGATGGGATTCTTGTTTGGTTGGGGGTCAGGTCGATCCTAATTTTTTTGTTTCGTTGTAATGCTGGGTTGAGAGGGATGAACATTTGACAAGCAAGGCCCACACGTCATTCTATGAGCCTTCCAGTTGCCTATGTGCCGCCCGCGCCACTCCCGCGTGATCTGACGCTCCTCTACACATGTGCGGCCATGGCCACTGCTCCAACGCGTCGTGCGGCCGTAGCTGTTGCTCCTCTGTGCATCACGCTGCCATCGTTCCCGCTCATCTGTGTGTCGTCATCACGAACACAAAGTGGGTTCACTTGGTTTCTCGGTTTTGGAGGGATAAGGTGAGCCCGCATCTAGAGAGAATATTCTTTATGTGGGATGACCTTAACCAACTACTCTCTGAACCAAATACTCCAAAAAAAAATGGGTCCAAGTGTCCAACCCATTCCAACGCCCTAGAGCCAAACACATGATTAATTCCTTGTTGCATTAGTTACCCCTTAAAACCAATTAATTTTCCTCAATAGCTAAATGCACCGTTACTTTCCAAATCAAACGTAGTGTCTACTTATTTTACCGAATCAAATTGACAATGTTTCTCCAAAAAAAAATAACCATGTTCTGTTACAGTATAAATAAACTAAAATTTAAAAATGTTTGTAATTTTGTCCAGAAATGCAAATATCAATCCCATACTATGTAGTTGTGCTTATGTGAAAATGTACCTCTAAGATATGGTTGCACACTCAAGAACCGCATTTCATCACCAAAAAAGAAGACATCTGTCTTTTCTGGTGAGAGTATTGTTATCGGGTCATTATAGATGGTTTTTCCCTCACATGGTAGTTTTATTGTATGCTATCTCATGGATATTAAAATATAAAACCTTAGAATTATCTAATCGTTCTTAAGAAATCGAGCCTTTTGATTTGGCTGCACTATATTTCTGAAATAGTAATTATAGTCATTTCATCATTCCTGGAAGAATTGAATTCTTCTGTTTGTTTCAGCATGGTCCCACTGATCATTCTCTGCCCATCTGTTTTGACGTTCATTTATGGATGCATTTCTTCTCTTTCCCATTTATTAGGCCTTGTTCGGTCTGGGCCGAAAATGGCCGGGGTCAGGGCGCAACGATGCATCCGGCGTGGATACCCCGGCCCACGATGGAATTTGCGTTCGGTCGGTTAGACCACCACACGGCGTCAACGCGCGTGGAAGAAAGAAAGAAATCCTCGCCTGACGAGAGCGCACGCGAAGGTGGAAGAAATCCTTATTTCCCCCGCTATGGGCCAAAAGTGCAAAGCCCAACTTAGTTGCGCCAACAAGCCCATAGGGCCCGCCGCCCCTCCGCGCTCGCCAATATATATACCCGGCCGTGGGCGGTGTCCCTTCATGAACTCGCTGAATCCGGATCCCTCTCGAATTGAAAAATTAAAAAAAAAAGGGGATCCCGTCGACTAGTCGAGGCGTGCTTGCCCCCCGCTCCCTAGTCCCTCCCCTATGGCGTCGGCGGCGATGCTCCGGTCCGCTGCCCGCTCGCGCCGGCTCCGGAAGCCCCTGGAGCCGGAGCGGTGCCTTCTGGCAAGGCGATTCCTCAGCAGCAGCTCCGTACCCACCGAGGTAATGAATCTCCTGCTTCCTCTTCCCTCGACTGGTTAGGGTTTGTCGAGTTAGCCGGTCTCACCTGAACGGAACGCCAAGGGTTGTTGGATTGGGGCCCAGGGATTACGGATCTGTGGGATTGATGAGGGCATGCTAATTTTGTTGGACCCAATCACCTGAATTGCCCACCTGCTGTCTTAGGTTAATACAAGTTGGTTCTTTTGGGGGTTTGCTCGAATTCGATTTGACTGATTGTCAAAGTTCTTTGGTTCAATTTAACTGCACCTCAAATGTGGTTATTCATGCACACAATTTTTTTTTTGTAACAAATCCTTTCATCATACTCCTGCAGAGACACACATGTTCCCCCTCGAATAAGCCTTTGAAAGGCATCATGGAACAGAAAAGTCACGTTAATGAGAAGCCGGAAAACATTTATCCGGAAAACATTTATAAACGACTATTGATGAAGGTCGATAAGATTTCTGAAGGCTTGGATGAACACTCACGTTTACTTAAGGAGCTTGAGGCTGAGATAAAAGAAAATAACAAGTAAGCAACCACTTTTGTCCTCAACATATACATGCAAACCTTTTTTATGTGGTTATTACTCTTAACTGTTATTCATTTGACCTGCAGGCATGGTGGAGCCATAGACCTGACGCCATGGGTTGTGTCGATATCTTCTTGTTTGCTTTTCTTTGGCCTGTATAAATATGTTTAGCTGATTGACTCGGGAGGGGGAAATGTAGGTGCAAAACTCTTATTTAGTGCGAACTAGTGAATTCGCTATTTCTTGTAAGAAACAGAGTGGATGTACTGGCTCAGATGTTCTATGATATAAAATAATGTATGATTTATGCTTGAACTCACTATTCTATTGGATGCTTGTTGTTTTTGCATTGATCTGGCTGGTGAATGTTATCAGGATTTGATCAAAAGTGTTGTTTTATTGGTGAATTTGAAAGTTTAGTGGCTGTGAACATGAACATACACCTGTACTCAGGGTGGGCTTATGGGGGCTAAGTAAATAGGTTGCAGGCCTCTTTGTGAGCCCCTGCACTCCTGGTACGAATTTAGTGACAGCTACACGTGTTTCTTTCCCAGAACTTCCTCACTTGATGAATTTGCAGCAGTTTCTTGTTTCTCTAAAGAATATCTGGGCCTGCAAGTAGAAAACCTGCAAGAGAAGTGATTCTATACTGCTATGAAGTGTACACTGATATAGTGCCTAATAACCAGGTTATAAAAGGACTGCAAGCAGCAAAAGCGAATCGTTATGAAGCCAAATCCCAACGACCGACCAAATCCCAACGGCCGATTACTCATCTGTGTAATAAGTAGATAATGCACCTATTTAAATAAACGGAAAGTGTGAAGCCAGATAAAAATGAGTACCATTTCAGCCATGAAGCATCGTGAGGCATAATTTACTCATCTCTACTAACACTGTATTGACCTATGTGTGCTAAAATCAGGATAATGAAGCACCATAAAACATAGGAAGAGATAGCTTTAAGTCAGTAGAAAGCCTTGTGGTACATATTTGTAATTTTAGTTAGTTTAAAAAAAAAATCAAATTCTGGTAGAACTATTCAAGGGCCTCCTACCATAATGCCCAAGCAAATGGCATCCTGCTTTAAAGTGCTCTAGCAGCTACCACATGACCACATCAGGGTAAGAAGCAACGATACAGACTTAAGCCACAATCGGATTGCTTTGCATCTGCCAGGGTAGTGACATGTAGTAGTCGCTTTGAGACATCTGCTCCAGGCTCATCTCAAACCCCCCAGTCTATCCTCCTTGGGTCCCATGAACTCCGGAAGGTAACCATAAAAGTCGTGTGATGCAGTGTTTCTCTGATCCTCAACCACTACCAGCATATTCAGACACCAGCAGGTCAGGTCAGTCTCTCCATCTGTGCTCGGAGGTGGAGGTGGGGTTGCAGAGCAGACGAAGAAGAGCGTCATGCCTTCCTGGCCCCTCGCCGGGTCGCCGTCGCCTGCACCACCCATCCATCAGCGGTGTGGTGGTGTTCAGCTGCCCATCTCTGCTGGGCTCCGAACCGACTGAAGAACCGAAAAGACCACGACACTGGCCAGTGGCCTGGAGGAAGACGGCGAGGCGGACGCAGGGTGGCACCATGGTGTCGGAGGCGACGTCCTCCGAAGATTGACCTCGCCGGTGGCGTGGTCCACCACCACGTTCTGGTACACACAGTTGCTGACCGGCACCTTCCAGAGAGAGAGAGAGAGTAAGAAAATCCAAATTCCTTGAGTAAATACTGGGCTGCAATTAGCAATGGGACCGTAATTATTGGCAATCGATGAACCTGATGGTCACAGACTCACATTTCCTGCAGGTGTAGAGAAGCAACTTGATCCCCTTGTCTTCCTTGGGATACAGTATGCAAGCATTGCCCCCCAGAAAAGAACAGATAGGCTTTCCTCATGAATCAATCGATCTCTTGGGCAAAGTTCAAAGTGAAAGAGAGAGATTAACTTGATGGGCACATGAACCACTCAATGATCAGCTCACCACCGACGGCTGAACTTCATGGTGCCAGCCTATGGCTGCTGCTCGTATATCAGCTCCTCTGCTCTCTCTGTATCGGTGGGTGATCCAGCTGAAGCCAGAGGGCAACCAAGCCAAGTACTGATGCTATTTGTTTCTAGTAAATAGAGATATCACAGATGGCAAAGAAAGGCAAATACCTGCAAGAAGCGTTTAAATTAAAAATAAAATGAAATGATTCGCAGAATCTCAGCTGACCTTGCCGATGCCAGGTCGGTCTGCAGTGTACGTGGAGGAATCTGGTGGAAAGAGAATTTTGATTCTGCTCCTGTAAAGACACCGAATTTTGTATTCCCAGCCATGATCCATTCTTCAGCCAGGCAGCCTCCTCCATGAGACCATGACTTGCAGGGAGATAGACGACGACACGTGGACACCAACCAGGCCGGCCTACGCCAAGCCCACACGAACAGGATCCCGGCTGAAACGTTCTCCGCCGGGAGGAAAAGCTTAGTCAGACTCGGAACGTAACATTTCAGTAGCCAACTGACGGTTACAAACGGCGGAGAGTTTTGTCTCCAATCCAGCTTCAACGCCCAGCACCCGAACGTCTGGCGCCAGGACGTGTCCGGGTGCACCTAAGAAAACAGCACCCGCGTACAGAAACAGCGCCAGCATGCGTGCGTGTGTCTCCATCCGCCGCCTATCTCCTCCATACCACCATTCCGCCACCGCCCTGCCATCTCAGGCGCACTCCCTCTCTGCAAGCCCCACGCCGTGCCCCCTTTGCAGGCCCCTGCCACGCCATGCAGCGCCACGCTCGTTTCGTGCTGCACGCGGCGCCAGCGCCGCTCGAGCGACAAGAGGGGAAGGGCGGTGTCACCTCATATTCGAAAAGACCCGGTCATGGCGTCGTATGGATGCCCTGCCGGTTCTAGGAGAGACGATGCAGCAGAAGGTGAGGAGGAGAGATGCAACATCCGATCTACTTTTGAAATATCCAAAGACAACAATTGTAACATACGTCTGATGGCAGTTGAAACACTTGAAACATAGGGCCGGTCGATTCCGGCTGCCGGGGGTGGGGGAGAGCCGCCCACCCCCCTGCAACACCGCCGCTCAACCTCCATGGATCATGCTCGTGGTCCATGGATCTCGCTGGGGTGGGGGAGACGGCCACCGGATCCGTAGGCGTTGGGCGCTCTCAGTGGGTGAGGACGCCAGGGTCGGGGGAGGGTTGCCGTCCAGGTAGGAGAAGGGGCCGCGGGGGTGGGGGAGTGCGCTGTCGCCGGCCAGGGAGGCAAACATGGCCGTGCGTCGGGGGTAGCGCGCGGGGTCAGAGTGCAGAAGGGGAGGAGGAAGCGAGGGACTGGGTGCGGGAGTGAGACGAGTTGGGTAACAGATGTTTCGAGAGGCCACAAGCCTGTTGATGTTAGGCCGATCGCCGCGAAGGCCCAAAATGATGCGTCCAGCGCGGACACGCCTGGACGGATGCTCTCACAGAAGCATTATTGTTTTTATTGACACGTTCTGAGCCCGAACTTGTGGTTTGGCAAAACGAACGCGTGTTTGGTGACGGCAGCCCGCTACTCCGGTCTGGCCGTCTGGGCTCCTCGAAGCCATCAAGTTAGGGGCGGACGCCACCTTTGTGCGTCTGGGTTCCGGCAAGATACGCGCACCACCGTCCACTGGGGGAGGAATGACGGGCACCGTAACCAAAGACGTGGCAAATGGCAATCAGGGTAGGGGAGAAAGACATTCACGTCCGGCCTAGCCCGGGGATCCCTGAGCGGCTAAGTGAGCCAAGTTATTGTTAGAAATAATCCACGACACGTAGTGGCATGTGTGTGTGTGCCGCATCATGGTGGTGTGCATGTCTGGCTATTTTTGGGTGAGGATCGAGTCGTATGTGTCTCTTGGATGGCAGTGTCGTGTGTGCCTCTTGGATGACATGCAATGGCTAAGACCGAGTCTAGTTGGAGTAGTGGTGTGCGTGGCGCCGATTTGCATGGTGGAAGCCGCATTGTCCGGATGAGCAAGTGTCTCACGGTGTTCCTGCGCGGGTCCTGCGAATCATGGCGCGAAGGCCGGCATGGAGGCGAGCTCCATGGCCTATAAGTAGCCCCCATGCTCCTCTGTATTTGTATTCAGTAGGCAAGTCCAGTGAATATGTAGCCAAGATACAGGCGAGTTTGTCGCCGCGACATTCGTCGCCGGAAAATAGCGTGTCTATTGTGCTTCTTCTACCTCTCGTCAAGAGCGTTGGCGTGTTTGTTTGAGTGGTTCCTAGGCGAAGTCAACAGTTATTACGAGACAATTCTCTCTCTCTCTCTCTGGGTGACGGACGGTTGTCAGGAGGCAAACCATCATCCGAATCTGATGGCATATTCCAATCCTACCATGGATCTCCAGCACATCCACCCCCGAGTCCCGAACACGATGATAATGCAACGGTTCGTTTAATCAAATCAAAAAAATAATAATAATGCAACGGTTCAAGCTTGGAGTGAATAATGATTTGCGAAGGAAGGAAGGAAGAGGGTGGCAAGGAATGTGCGGCTCCGGCGGCCGCCTCCCTCTAGCTCTGCGTGGATACACCATGCAGCACAAACCAAACGGCCAAGGTCCTTTCCCTTCGGCGAACCGTCGACGAAGAACCGGCCAACACTCTGAATTCTGAATCGCAATGGGACACACGACAGAGGTAGTCATGGCCTTGGCCATGGGTTGATGACGCCCGCGCTTCCAAACCAGCATCAACGGCGGCGACTGTGACTTCGAATAGAGTGGGAGGAATTATACGATTTTTTTTTTAAAAAACAAAGAGCACCCGATACGGAAAAGCAGCCCATTGAGCTGCGTGTGCCTGTGCGTCATCCCAGATTTGTGATACGGAAAGCAGCCCATGTGATTCGTTAGTTAAGGTTCGCCGTGATAGTGAATTTTGATTGCCTCACTTCCTTGCATAGCTGAAAGCGTACGAGAGTTCTCATTGATGACAACTAGTTAGCGCACCAATTAGCACTTGGGCTGCTTAGGGCA